CCTGGCCTACCACTATAAGAGTTGGTTTTCAAAGGAAAACCAGGATATTATTACTAGAAAAGGGAATAGATGATGACAGGTAAAAAACAATGTGCTCACGACAGGTAAGTACCATGTGATGACAACAGGTAAGCACAATATAGTAACTGCAGATAAATGTTGTTATCCTGGTCCACATGTGTGCAGAACTGACTCAGAGAAGCTGGGTGGCTCCCATGGTTACCCAGCTAGAGCCTGGCAAGGCCCAGATAAGAACTCCTGGCTACCTGTCCTGCTTTTCATCCCCATGTAACGATTCCATCCTGACTGACTTCTTACAAAATTCACTTTTTTCAAGATCTCACTTTCCAGTTGTCCACACACCAGTGAATATTCTTAATTGGGTTTTAGCCACAAGACTTGTTGGCTGCATGACTCAATTCATTAAACACCATGTGAGGTCTTAAGACTTCTAATTATTTCCAGTGAATGTTTTAAAAGGTAAATATTAAAATATAACAATATAAAATTTTTGTGATACACATAATATCTGGAAAACTGGGGAGCAGAGGGGGCTCCCTTATAAAAGCTGTTCACTGATTACTTTGCAAATCACATGAAGAGGTGCCAGAGTTGCCTTCCTGAAGCAGTGACTATTAAATGGACCATTCACATCTTAAATCTTTGAAAACTTCTCTCTCTCTCTCTCTCTCTCTCTCTCTCTGAGTCCACTTTCTCTCTCTCTCTCTCTCTCTCTCTCTCTCTCACACACACACACACACACACACACACACACACACACACACACACAGAGAGAGAGAGAAAGTGGACTCAGAGAGAGAGAGAGAGAGAGAGAGAGAGATAGAAAGTGAACTCAGAGCTGATCCAAGCAGAAGTGGCTGGAATGCTCAGCTCACCCAAGGACAGAAAGGCTGGGACTCTCTCCCAAGAAGCACTCGAGGCTTGACACTCTGGAGTGCAGGGCTCAGGTACAACATACCACAGAGCCAGCATTCCCGGAGTAGGAGGCTACCTTGCACTAGCAGTGAGTTCATTTTCTGCTTCAAAGAACTAAATACCTGACTCAAACTGGCTTGAGCCGTAAGGAAATATATTATTTCACAAAAGTGGAGTGCAAAGGTAGGACACGGTCCACACTCGGCTGATTCAGAAGCTCGGCAATCAGGGCCACATTATGACTTCCATGGTCCCTAGGCACTTTGGTCTTCATGGGGCCCCTTCCTCTATAAAAAATTACATTTTATGACTACAATGGTATAAAGACATATCATCCGGTCAGAGTGATATATATTTTTTCTTCTATAATTTTAAAAGAAATTAAAACACCATGGAGGACTCCTGAAAGTATCATGGGTTGGATGACTAGGATACAGGTTCTTTCCATCTGGTGGCCGTGCTCAGTGGGTATTAGCTATGGGCTCAGCTGGCCCATGCCAGGCTGTAATATGGCTGCTAGTGGGATCTGGGACAATGGGCTCCACTGTTCCCCTCCACTGTAAGCCTGTAAAGACTTTCCCCTAACTATGGAAAAGAAACTCTTCCTTTCAATTCTAATTGGTCCCAAGTGAGTCAATGGGCTACCCCTGAAGCAATAGCCAGAGAAAGCCATTGCTGCTTGCATTAGCTTTAGACTAGTCAGACTAGAGTAGTCAGGAGACATCCCTAGTGTTAGAAATGAGAATGTTACCTAAAAATATTGGGTTATGTTGGGATGAGGAATGGTCTACTACAGCCCCCTATACCACAGCTTCCAATACCTAAGAACAATCATTCACATGCATTGGATAGCTGTCTTGAGTTTCTCACTCGATCCTCACAACAACCTTAAGAAGTAGAAACTGTTATCCTTCCCATTTCATAGAAGGAGGAACTGAGGTTTTGAGAGCTTAAAAGAGGTGCTCAAGGTAGATTTCTTAAATAGGTCAAAAAAAGGCCAAAATAGTTTTTTTTAAAGTAATAAATTAGACTTCATCAAAATGAAAATGTCAAAAGACAGCATTAACAAATTGAAAAGGCAAGAAAAAGACTGAGAGAAAATATTCAAAAAATATATATCTGAAAAGAACTTGCAGGAAGACTATATTTTAAAAAAAAACCCTACAACTAAGGAGACAAAAAAACAAATAATAAAGAAATGAACAAAAGATTTGAATGGTCTCTTCAAAAAAGAAAATACATTGATGGACAATAATATGTCCATCAATTATGTTCAATATATCTAGACATCAGAAAAATATAAAATAAAACCTACAATTAGATACCACTTACACACCCACCAAAATGGCTAACGTTATAAATGACAATACCAGGAGCTGGTAAGAATTTCAAGCAAGTAGAATCTCACATATTGCTGGTGGGTGGAGATGCAAAATAGTACACTCACTTCAGAAAACAGTTTGGCACTTTCTTACGAAGTCTAACATATCCCTTCCATATGACCTAGCAATTCCACTCCTAAGTGGTTACATAAGAGAAAACATATGCCCATGCAAAGATTTCTATAGGAATGTCCGTAACAGCTTTATCCATAAATAATACAAATATCTGTCAACAAGTGAACACATAAACAAATCAGGTGATATACACACACTGAAATACTACTCAGCAATAAGAAAAGAAAGAACTTCTGCTGCACCTAACAACAAGGATGCATCTCAAAACTGTGCTGCGTGAAGGGGGCCAGGCACATACTCCATGATTTCAAGCATATGAACTTCTGCTGAGAAAGGCCGTGGGGAAAAAGGGAGACCTGTTGCAATAGTCCAGGTGGAAAATGGTGGTGGCTTAGACCAGGGTGATTGCAAAGGAGGTGATGAAAAGTAGTTCAATTCTGAATACATTTTGAAGATGAAGCTGACAGAATTTTCTGAAGGATTGAATGCAGGATGTATGACAAAAAGAAATCAAGGATGAATACATGGTCTTGGAACTGAGCAAATGGGAAGATGGAATTGCTATTAATTGAGATGGAGAAGCAGATGGGTGGAGTATGTTGGGGGCTGAGAACAGCAGTGGCATTCAGTTTGAAATGTCCCTTAGATGTCCAAATGAAGGTAACAAGTCAGTGGTTGGATATATGGGAAGAGTTCTAGGCTGGAGATAGAAATTTGGAAGTTTTCACCCCATTTTTCTGGAGAAAGGGCTGAGGACAGGTCGAAAGAGTTTAAAAGAAACAGAAGAAAATATCTAGACAGATATTTTTACTGTACAAAAAGTAAAGATCCATTTAAAAAAAAAAGTTTGGGGATCATGAGTGATTAGAGGACAAAATGTTACTAGAATTTTGGTAATAAAAGTCTTCCGTACAATTAGCAAAGCCTTATATACTCAGATAAGGTTCAGGGAGGGTTGTAGAGCTCCCTGACCTTTTCCAATACTGTGTGACTTGCTATCAAACTGGCAAGGTCTGGGTCACCCATTAGATACCCCAGAGATGAGGAGAGCAGCTTCCACCTAATAACCTCTGTCTCCTGCAGTCTCTATCACCCTCCCACCTTTAATCATCAGGGAGGGAAAGCAGCTGTTCCTTCCCTTCCTACCCTCTGTCTCCTGGGACTGGACAGAGTCAAAGTCTTTAACCCCTTCAGTTTGCAGGTTGTCTCACTCCTGAAACTGCCTTTGGCCGTTTGCTTCTTAGAAGACACAGCTGCCTGGGAAGCAAGCTAATACTCTGACTTTAGTTGGAGCCTTCTGAGATAACTGCAATCTGTGTATGATTTCATGAAGCCAGAAAAATAATTATTTTTCTTCCTTTCCAGATTCCTGAAATTCCACTATTAGCATGAAAGGTGAAAGTGAAATGCCCAACTTTAAATGAATAGTATTAGTGATTTCACCAAGTGAACCAGTGGAGAAAACAGAAGTTACATATGAACAAAGGGATCCATTTAAAAAAGGAGATTATTTTTTGTGTTTTGTTTTTCCTTTTTGTATCATATATTGACAAAGTATAGAAGTATATATTTATAGAGTACAAAGTGATGGTATGATTTTTTAATAGAATGTGGGATGATTAGATCAAGCTGATTAACACATCCATTACCTCAAATATTTAAAAATTTTGTGATGAAATATTTGAAATGTACTCTCTTAGCAATATTGAAATATACAGTATCAATTATTAGCTATATTCACCAGGCTGCATAATTGATCTTAAAAAAATCAAACTTATTCCTCCTATTTAACGGAGGCTTCCCCACAATTCCAGCCTCTGGTAACAAACCATTCCACACTCTGCTTCTACAAGTTTAATTATTATTATTATTATTATTATTGTTTTAGATTACATATGTCAGTGAGAACGTGTGGCATATGGGTCTGGGGTTAGCTTATTTCTCTTAGCATAATGTTCTCCAATTCCATCCACATTGTCAAAAATGACAGAATTTCTTTTCTTTTTTAAGGCTGAATAGTATTCCATTGTGTATATATGCCACATTTTTTTCATCCATTCATCCCTCGATGCACACCTGGGTTGACTCCATATCTTGGCTATCGTGAATAGTGCTGCAATGAACAGGACAGACATCTCTTGGACATACTTATTTCAAATCCTTCCGGTAAATATCCAGAAGTGGGATTGCTGGATCATATAATAATTCTACTTTTAGTTTTCTGAGAAACCTCCAGTTTTCCATAATGGCTATATTAATCTACATTCCCACCAACAGCGTACAAGGGTTCCCTTTTCTCCACATCCTCACCAACACTCGTTATCAAAAAGGGAGGTTGAGAGACCACGAAACAAACCCCATCTCACAATTTTGTTAGTGGGAGTTCTATCTGGCCTGTTCCCAATGCCTAGAACATAAGAAGTCACAAATACGTGTTGAATAAATGAATGAATTCTCATTTTTCTCCACTTGAGGAAGTACACACCCTTTCAAAAAAAAATCTGAAAGCAAAGGCAAAAGGACCAGTTCTATGAATGGGGTTAATTTACTCTCCTAGCTCTCACTTATAGGGGGGTGGGAGGGGCGGGAATTTTGGCAATTTCCAGAAACCCTCAGAAGCTCTCTGGGAGAGATGTGATCCCCTCCTTGGGGCACAAGAAATCACCCTGGAGGCTGGGAGCATCCCGAAGGCTGATGCAAACCTAGGACATCACATGCCAAATGTGCCCTCTTTGGCCTGGGGTCCCCCCCCAGGCTGGAAACTGAGGAGCAGGCGAGGCAGGGCAGGCTGGGCGGCGGAGAGGGCCGGGAGCCGGGGCGCAGAGCGAGCTGCGCGGCGCGCTCTCCCGCGGGCTTGCAGCGCTTGGCTCAGCGCTTGCGCCTCCCTCGGCTCTCTCCTCCGCCCCCCTTCGCCCTCCTTCGCCCTCCCCCTTTCCCTCCCTTTCTCCTCCTCCTCCTGCCGCCGGGGCCGCTGCCAGACCTCGCCAGTTCAGACCCACGGGGCTGCCCTTCCCTGCGCACTCCCCTCGCTGCCCGGGCCCGGAGCGCAGCGCGGCCGCGCAGGTAGGAGCCCCGGACGGGGGTCGCAGCGAGCGCGCCCAGTGCCCGCGGGGCCGCGTGCGGGAGAGTAAGTGAGGTGGGGTGACCCGAGGGGTGCAGACTACCGGAGAACTGCCCTGGACTGTGCAGGGTCTCTCGAGCAGAGAAGGAGGTGGAGGTGTGCAGCCTCGGAATGCGATCTGTCCGCAAGTGAGAGGATTCGGTGACAACTGTGGGATGGGCATGTGTGTGCGCGCCGACAACCAGACGGCAGGGCTTTGAAAGTTTTGAAAGTTTTGAAACGTGGTTTTGAAAGTTTCAGGGGACCAATGTGTGAGATTTAAGCAGCACCTGGGTTCCACAGGAGCTCGGTAGAAGCTGGAATGCGGAGCAGCTCCAGGGGACTGCTAAGAAAGGGGACCTCACCTCCCTGCGGGCACACGGCCAGGCGCCCAGAAACTGGTACCTTGGGCTGTGCAGTCCTGGTTCCAGTCCTAGGCAGCCCAGTCCTAAAGGTGGCACGTTGGGGACCGAGGCACTGATAAGACACTAGAGAATCAGATGCTCTGGGCTGCTCCTCCACACAACCTGGAACTTTTAAACAAAGCTGTGCGCAAAGAATGCGGTGGAAATGCCCCTTTGAGAGTTTTGTTCTGGGGGGGGTGCGAGAAGCTCTAAGGGACGTGAGAAGCTCCGATATTCTCCTAGAACTGGGAGGAAATTGCTGAGTTTTGTTTTGGTATTGTGTTAAAAAAAAAAAAAGTTTGAGATCAAGGTAATTCGTATTGACTCGCAGGTATTTTTGCTGAGCTATGCAAGGAACTTTACTAGAAGGAGGTGAGCTAACAGGGAAAGCCTTAACGCTCAAGGGAATAGAGATTTGCTGCCCTACCTCCTCCCCCAGGGAAAAAAAATAAAAATGCACGGTCCACTTTGAAACTGATTACTCTGTTTTTATCCTTTGATCCCCTCTTTCTGAAGCCTGCTGTGTAGGTGCAGTATAAAATGCACGATACATGTCCTTTGTATATGTACAGCATAACAGGATGGAGTAAAGTGAAATGCAATTCCGCAGCAGTTTTTATGTCCGTGGTGCTACGGGGAAGGTTCGGGAGGGGGAGGGGAGATGAGAAAGCAGATTGGAAGTTGAGTACGGTGGAGCCTCAGCCTCTCCGCCCTCCCGTCCGTCCTTGCTTGTTATTCCACTGCTAAAGTTTTATTTTCCCCGCAGCAGATACTAAACATCAATTTGTCCTCTGTTTTGTTTGAGATTCACAATGTTGAAAGCCCTTCTCCTAACCATGCTGACTCTGGCGCTGGTCAAGTCACAGGACACCGAAGAAACCATCACGTACACGGTAAGGGGTGATGGAATTTGAGATAAGTGCGGTTCAGCGGGATTCTCTGACTCTGAATGACTTTACCCACCCCTGCCAGTGTACGTGGGCTGCACTCTGTGGAGGATAATAGATTAAACAACACTTTACTATGGTTCACATTTAAGATTGCTTGTAAATTGACCCTGGATCCTTTCAAAAGTTCACTGAGATCACCAATTGAGATAGGGACCAACATGTAATGATTTCTGCAAGGCCAAAAATGGGAACCCTTTTGAAACTAAAACCAGAGTAAGCTCCATATTTCCAACACATTCAACAAATTAATGGGCATAAGGAATTGGAAAACCTGGATTCCTCCATACCTGCAGATAAAACCAACACATGCAGAGTAAGATTTAAGTCAAATAAGAATGTTAAACGTCATAAAAGCCCATCACCTCATTTGTGCACACGACTTAACATTCTCATGTAAGTGGCCTTTATTGAATTTACAGAAGCTATATATTCATTCATTTATGGTATAACCGATAACTCACAAATGCCCTTCAGATATACTTAAGTTATGTGTTCCCAGGATGCAGTATTTGCTAAAGCGGTTTTAAAATTCATTGTGTGCAACTCAGTTTTGCATTTTCTAATTAGCATCTCTGGGTAATATTTGACTAGATAATTGCATGGACATAACCAGTGTTTAATAAAATATTAAAAATACCATCTGACCCCTCCCACTGCCAGGAACACATGGGGTGATGGCAGAGGAGGGCAACTTACCTCACTTCTGGTGAGTTTGTTTGCACCTCTGTTTTGTGTTTTCTAGTCTTTAATCAGTGTTGTGGGGTGAATGACATTTGTCCTGAATTAGAATATGAAAAACACATTTTTCTACTTGCTCCCAATTTAAAATTAAGTAATCCTACTCAAAAGAATGTGAAAAATTTTTGAAAATAAAACTCTTAAAAGTGAGCTAATGTCAATTACTGATAATAAACATTATCTCACTTTTTGGTACCATGTTATCCCTAGAATGTTAGTATTCATCTGGCAAATGTTCCTTTCTGTTGTTCAAATCAACTATAAATAGTTTAATATAAATATTTGTTAACTTCATGTTAAATGCAGTTGCTTCCTCTGCTGAAGACAAATAAAGCAAGAAAACCAAAGGCATGTGCTGTTTATCTTCAAATGAAAATGTTTTCTTAATCGGGCTAAACTTATTACCTTCTCAGGGAGCTAAAATTAAATTTGTTATCTACTTTTATAATCATCTAATAAAAGATTTTACTGCTTTTACAATTGCTTATCTTCTACACCCTTCCCTTTGCTAATCACCTAAGTCTTATTCATTTTTAGCAGAGAAAGTTTCCTGTGAATTAAACACTATAGTTTTAAAAACTATTAACTAGAGTTCATTATTATTGCAACAGATTTCCCAGATATGATACATTTTTTGTACTAAGATTAGGTCTATTCTCTTTTAAATTGTATATGCCTCATAATTCATGGTTAAAGGGCAAGATGGTTAAAGGACTATTTTTGAGTACTCCACTGTGGAGACACTATATCCTTTCCTTCTCAAAGCAAGGTGTGAGGTAAGTAGAATCATCTTCCTTCTACTGATGGTAGAACTGATGATCAGACACACTTTCTAACTTGTTTAAGGCTGCACAGCCAACAAGCAGTGAAGCTAAATTCAGTCTAGGCTTATTTAATAGTAGACCCACATTAAATGTAACCAAACTAAATACTTAAAACAAACTGCAAGTCTTCTGTATTCACTATACAAATGATTCAAGGGAACTACCAATTTTGCATGGTTTGAAAGATATTTTTCAGAAGAATGGGCTTGTATCTATAAGACACCTCATACCCCCCTCCCATGATAGGGACCTTATCCAAAGATAGGGTCCATTCAGTTATTTAATTGATACATATCTGCATAAGCAACTCCCACCCCATCAAAAGAATTTATAAGTTTATTAAGAAAACTCAGCCCTTTGCTTCAGGGAGTTTGCCCTGGGGAAGATACCATTGAAAACTACAAAGTTCCTAAGCAAGCACAAATAGTATTATTACACAGATTATACAAATTGCTAAAGAAATAGAAAGATGAGAAGGTGATTAATGTTGGCACTGGCATATTACAAGAACTGGAACTCTGTGCTGGTTCTTGAAGGAGGTAGATTGATCTGGAAAGGCTGAAGAGATGCCCAAGTCAGAGAGAGTGGCATAATCCAAGACTGGAAGTGAAAACAAGACAAGTCCAGGCGGTGATGAGTTCAGATCAGCCACAGCTGGGTAGAATAGAGAACCTAGAGATGGCGATAATGAGAAATGAGAGATCTCTGGGCCACTCTGAGCTCTTTCTTGGATGGAAGACCAGCATAACAGACAGCAAGAAAGATCGCCTGGAGGCTGTGTGTGGAATGTAGGGATGTGGAGCCTTACCTACTTATGAGGCCAGAAAAAGGTTCACACCATGCTGTTAGATGCACAAATGGACACAGTCAGCAGAGCTGGAAAGAAATTAATTGCAACATTCAGTGCTGATGTTTAAGTTGTAATCCTGGGTCCCAAGAAAGGTGGTGATGCCTTGGAGACTGTTGGGGACACTAGAAAGAATTACTCTGGGAGATAAAGTGAGTTTAGTTTTCACTCTGGTAAGTTTCAGATATCAGTAAATTATCTATTGATCTCTCTGCCTCCATTCAGTTATCTGCTTTTCCAGCATTTGTTGGGTGTATAAGCAGCTCTCAGCTCTACTAGAAGAAGTTTATTTCATTGTTTACTCCTCTTTTGCTCAGTCCTTCCTGAAGCATCCTCCTCACAGTGACTTTCTCAAATGAGCATCTGATCAAATTGTTTCCTAAGCTTAAATTTTTTTCAGAGGCTTTTATCACTTATGGCAATGTTTCTCAAGAAGTAGCCCCTAGACAACCTACATGGGAATCACCTGGGATGCTTGTTGGGAATTTAGATTCCAGACCCCCACCCAGACTTAAAAAATCAGACCATTTGGGTTGGCCCTGGAATATGCATTTTCACCAGCAGCCTGAGTGATCCTTAAGCATAATAAACCTTGAGATTCACTGACCTACAGGGTAGAATGCAGTTCTTCCCTGTCCCAAACAAAGGCTTCCTGGATTTGTCCCTGCTTAGCTCTCTAACCTCATGCCCTACCCACCCAGAACTCTTTGCAGCACCTTCCATCTTCAACAATTTTATGCTTTTGTTCACAGTGGTTTCCCTTCCTGGAATTCCTCCATTTCCCTGGAAAATTCCTGCCCATCCTATAAGGCCCAATTCACTTGTCACCTCCTCTCTAAAGCCTTCCCTTCCACCATAGCCATGGACAGAGTCCATCACTCCTTCCTGCACTCGCTTGTAGAAGGCACCTGATGTCTTGCTGCAAGTTGTCTACCTGTCTGTCTCCTCTTCTGGCCTGTGAGCTGCTTGAGGACAGGGACAAGGTCTGCATAGCATAGGCATCCCCAGGCCCTAGGACAGTCCCTGATATGAGGAGGTGTTCCATAGGTGGTTTGTTCCGTGAGTGAACTAGAGGGCACCCCAAGGAAAGGAAGTTAGGAAGCAGACCAGCATACCAGCATGTGAGACAGAGGTCCAAATGGTAAGGAAAGCCATGTGCTTGAATGCTCTCAGAGGAGACAGAGAGAGAGAGAGAGAGAGAGAGAGAGAGAGAGAAGACTTTAGGGCTGAGAAAAAAAAATAAAAAGAACTTCATTGAATTTTTTTGTTTGTTTGTTGGAAAAAGGGCAAATAAAACAAACAAAAAAAAAGTAGTCAGAGAGGCTGGAGAAGATTAGTCTCAAGACAGAAAAGAATTGCAAGATGGTGATGGGCACCTGTACCAAACCCAACAGAAGAGTTGAGGCAGCTGGTGATTGTGCAGGGTGCCCTGAAGCCATCCAAGGCACAGACTTGCCTTTAAAGAAGCAAAGCTAGAGAATGTTAAACTACCCATCTCATCATATATCTGGGCCTCTAGCAAGGGTTGTCGCCATAAGAATGACACTTTCAGAGTGACTTCTTAGGGAATGGACACATCAATTAACTGTCTCCTGTCCCCCGCTTTGGTGTTTTCTCCGCAGCAATGCACTGACGGATATGAGTGGGACCCTGTGAGACAGCAGTGCAAAGGTGAGCCAGCTTCACAGACCCCCATCTGAGCGTTGCCTTCTGTCTCCATCTCATGTGTCTCTTCCTGTCCTGTGTGTATTATACCCAAAAAGGCATGCACATATATTTACACGTTCTATCTTCCCACTAAGAAGATTCCTGACTTTTTTTATTACTGACCACAGATATTGATGAATGTGACATTGTCCCAGACGCTTGCAAAGGTGGAATGAAATGTGTCAACCACTATGGAGGATACCTCTGCCTTCCTAAAACAGCCCAGATTATTGTCAATAACGAACAGCCTCAGCAAGAAACACCAGCAGCCGAAGCAAACTCAGGGGCAACCACCGGGGGTGTAGCTGCCAGCAGCATGGCGACCAGCGGAGTGTTGCCTGGGGGTGGTTTTGTGGCCAGTGCTGCTGCAGTCGCAGGCCCTGAAGTGCAGACAGGCCGAAATAACTTTGTCATCCGCCGGAATCCAGCTGACCTTCAGCGCATCCCCTCCAACCCTGCCCACCGCATCCAGTGCGCAGCAGGCTATGAGCAGAGTGAGCACAACGTGTGCCAAGGTAGGCATGACCTATGACCCCAACCAGAATGTCCTTGCCTGAGTGCCCCTAGCGGGGAGAATGATGATAATAATCGCTCGCATTTATTAAGGGATTCCCATGCGTCAGACATTGCACAAAGTGCTCTATCTGCATTATCATGTTTAATCGTCGCAATAATCTTAAAAGGTTTGTGTTGTCAGTGTCGTCATCATGTCGCAAATGGAGAGACAGCAAACTGGCTGAGAAGGTTCATCAGGGGTTCCTAACCTTAGCTGCCCATATTTAGAGTCACTCGAGAGCTTTTAAAACTTGTCGATGGCTAAGCCACACCCTAGTCCAATTAAATCACAGTCCCTGGGGATGAGTTGCAGGCATCGGTATTTTTTAAAGCTCCCCACGTGGTTCCAGCACGCATCCAAGTTTAAGAACCAGAGGTCACACAGATGCTAAGTGCAGAGCTGGCCTTCAAACCCAGGCAGGCGGGCGCCAGAGTCACAGCTGTCAGAAGTGGCGGTCAGGTTATTTCCTTGGGAATTTGAAATTCTGCTGTCAAGCTACTCCATAGATCTCCCTCTCTGGCTTCTCAAGTTTCTTTTCATTGAACTTGCCACTGACTTATTTTCTTCATTCAGGAATAAATAAATGGGGCTCCTGCTTCTCCTTCCCTTGGAGGGTCTCTCCCCCACTCACATTTATATCTCTTTTAAAGCCCTCCTTTGAGCACATTTTGCTTATATCACTTGCACCATGGCATCGTCCGCCTGGGCTTTTCTGTTTATTTTCGCAGAGAGCACACATCACTGTGTATTCTAGAAACAGCTGTAGACTCATGCTAGCAGAGTGATAAGAATCTCGGGCTTTGAAGACATGTAGGATGTTAGCTAAGGGGACTGTGGTAAGGGATTTTGTTTCCCTTTTCCTGCTTAGCAGACTCTTTCAGAGCTACCTGGTGTGGAGATTGTGTTACTGAAATGGGGCCACAGGAGCCCCCAGACTTCTTTTTCCCTGCCAGGGGCTGACCAGGTAGACGCTGTGGTCCAGAACTCCATGTGACCGCCACATACGTGCATGGTAAACATTAGCCAATGGAAAGGGCCAGGGAGTTCTTGCCTTCTAACTGGTGGTGAGTGAGAAAGAGGACACGTCCCTCCCTCAGCGATGAGGGAGGTCACTGACTGCTGAATTAAGTGAAAGACATAAATCCCTGTGCCCTGGGGTGCTGCCCCTTAGTCATCATTGCTTAGTTTTAACTTCTGGATAAGCGATACTACATTTTAAATGGCTTATAAATGAAGTAAGGAAACCTCGTGCTCTGACTTTTATTATTTTATATTTTGTGTGCACATTTTAAGCACCCCACATCAAGAGCTACCCCGTGCTGTGATGGTTACCGAGGGTGCATCGTATTAGCATCTGTTTCGTGTTACTGTCATGAGTCAGAATTCCAATATTGGTGATGAATGCTTCAGCATCTGCTTGATATTCTGATATTTAATTTAAGGATTATGTCAAGATAAAAACTGATGAGGTTATTCTTCTACATGTATTTAGGTGAATATTGATTTAAAAAATACCTTAAGTTTATTTAAGTTATACCAAATTTTAATTGCATTACTTTAATATATAATTAGATTGGAAGGTTTGGTGATATTTTTCCTGAAATCAAAAACTTTTGGTCAAATTTTTTTAAGAATTGACTTTTATATACTGAATTACTTTTAGCACTTCAGATGTTATATATATTTTAATGGTACTTGAGAGGGGGAAAAAAAAAAAACAGGTAAATGAATGAGTCATTTCCCAAAATAATTTATAGGCCATCTTGAATCCTTGTTGAATTCAGAAACAATGCCTAGAACTGGATGAAGTTCTAAAATAAAATATATGTAAGGCCTGGCACAGTGACTCATGCCTTTAATCCCAGCACTTTTGGAGGCCAAAGCCAGAGGATTACTTGAGGCCAAGAGTCCAAGATCAGCCTGGGCAGCATAGTGAGACCCTGTCTCTACCAAAAATAATTTTAAAATAATCAATCAGACATGGTGGCATTCAACCTGTAGTCCTAGCAACTCAGGAAGCTGAGGCAAGAGGATTGCTTGAGACCAGGAATTAGAAGCTGCAGTGAGCTATGATGGTGCTACTACACTCCAGCCTGGGTGACAGAGCAAGACTCTCTTAAAAAAAAAAAATACATACATATATATATATGTGTGTGTGTGTGTGTGTAAATATATACATATGTGTGTGTATATATATTCAAGTCTTACAACATGCATTGGTTGTAGTAGAAACTGTACTGTGAATAATGAAAAGGAAATCCTATTTAATTTTTCTTGAAAATATTTAGACTACTTTACAAAGTAAGTTATTTTTTCACATATTAAAACATTCATGATTCTTCTTTGGGAATTTTTAGTTACGAACAGCCTATTAAATTCTTTGCTTAAGGAAGATGCTATATACATACTTGTGTGCACACAGGGTATTTCCAACTCAAACTGTTCTATGCAATTTAGCCAGTTTCTAAAATTTCTAAAATTTGGGATTGGGGTCTGTACCCTTGAAAGAAGGGTTAAAAGTTTTTTGGAAGACTTAAGGCTTAAGTTGGATTTCTTCCCACCTCACAATTTTGCAAAGTGCCTGTAAATGTGGATTTACTTAATTGTTGATAAAAGGGGGTTATTTCATATGATAACAACAGGATAATCTGTCTAGGGAATGTGACTAACATAAGTCGAGTCACACTTGTGCCCATTTATTATTGAGCTAATCAAACATGCGGTCCAGCTTCTTCTAATTGCCTGCAGATGTATGACATTCTCATTCCAGGCCAGCAGCACAAAATATTGTTTTATAACCAATGTGAAAGCGTGTAGACCTCCGCTTAAAACAATAATGTGCTCCAAGGACCTATATTACTGGCATCATTGTGGAAGTTGAGGAGCCTTCTGTTTTAATAAAGATCTCCACTCCCTTTTAAATGTTACATATTTATGCCCAGTAATCCAAACACATTTACCATGGTCAGCCGGATTAGAATAAAAGAATGCCTACAGATCAGTCACATTTGTATAAAAATTATTTTTTTCCACATATATTTTCCCACAGGCACAGCTTATCATTACATAACCTAAAACTGAGGACATATTTTATATAAGGGCTGTTAATAAAATCTGTGCTGTGTTTCAGTCTTAAAACCAGTTGTGCCTTTGAACACATTATATCAATCACAGACAATGCCTAATGATTTAAATACCAGTAGATTTTTTTATGTACACTATTTTATAAATATATCTTTTAACCAGTTGTCGGTGTCTTAACAGTTTGATGAAAATATGATATTTTTCATGAATTTCATGAAATTTTTCATGAATTTTTCCAGGGTTTTGTTTTGTACAAAAACAAGGGGTTTGAAATGCAATATAACATCCAAAGATCAAGTCATAGCGAGCAGGTGTTTTCAGGTAATTTTTGTCAAACGAGGGTGGTGCTATGGGAGCCAGTCACACTGGCTGTTTCATATGACTGACTTTATCCTTGGTGGCTATAAAATTACATGAAGATCATTTCAGTGTTACATACATGGAGTCATGTATAGATAAAGTTTTGGAAATCAATTCTTTCCATGAGAAAACATCTACCTCAAAGACAATAGATATTCATCTATGCCAAAAGGAAGTTGAATGCATACGGAATATGTTATAACCCATTGATGGCTCACCTTTAGTTTTCTACATCTTTATTGCATAGTCTCTGTGTAATCCTCCTCAAAGGAGATGGAGTTAGAAATCACTAGTTCAAGTTAAAAAGATTTTTAAAAAATCATATATAACTTTCTAAGAGCCCCATTCCTGTGGAGGAAAAAAAAAAGTCATTTGGGAACTAGCAAGAAAGAGAAAGCATTGATTGCCCTACTTACAGGAATTTGTTCGCTAAATTAAACTTTCAAAAAATTAAACATAGGGCATTTTGCAGAGCTGATAAATAAGCCATTACTAAACTTGATCAGGATTTATAGGTATGACTACTAACTTGCTAAAGAAACTATGCCACCAAGAAATAAACCAATGCCCAGTGAAGCTGATTATGGAGCCAAATCCAGAGTGCAGTACCTGGCTTGTATTATATAATGTGTCACTGAGAGATGTGAAAACATACCCTAGAGCAGGGGTCCTCAAACTTTTTAAACAGGGGGCTAGTTCACTGTCCCTCATACTGTTGGAGGGCTGGACTATAGCTTAAAAAGAACTATGAACAAATTCCTATGTACACTGCACATATCTTATTTTGAAGTGAAAAAAAAGGGGGGGAGGGGAAACAGCTGCATGTGGCCCGATGGCTGTAGTTTGAGGACAACTGCCCTACGGTTTCCAACCATCTCTGTCTACCAGGAAGACTGTCCTGGTTTTAAAACTCAAAGTATATGTCCCTGGAAATACCTCAATCCCAGACAAATAGGATAATTGATCACCCTAGAATAGCCTCATAACCAAATTCCCTTCACCTCACAGCCAAGAATGAAAAAGTCCTAACATTAGAGCCCATTTTTGCAGGTTAAGGCATTGCTGATCCAATGAGACTATTTTTTAAACTTGTTTTGAACTTTCAAAAAACAAACTTGACTGCTTTTTAAGTACTTAGACAGAACCTTTGTAGTTGTTGGGCTCCCACTTGCCAGTTTGCCATTGAGCATGTTTTCACATTGTTTTAGACTTTGCACGTGTAGGATACCTAGACATGCAAGCACCTACATATTTAGATATATGTCATGACAGAGCTCATCTTTTCACATTTCCACTTGGAAAAAATTTCACTACATGGCCAAATTAAATATTATACTTCCACCATAAATTTTTCAGTGTTGCTAAAATGTTTGTTTTTTCCAACTTTCAGCTGTGATTTTCAATGATTTTATTTTAATTTTATCATTACCTCTGATGCAGGAGCAGCTAAAACACTGAAAAAAAAAAAAAAAAACTTTTGCCTCTTATCAAGTCTAAAGGAACAAACAAATTACA